GTACTTAACATGTTAAATTAAAGACAAGGATTTGAAACGAGTTGCTTACACTATAAATGCGTATAGAAATGTAAAATATATAGATGATATCCTGTGATTTTTTGTTGGATACCATTTTTATCCATGTGTGGATATCACACTACTATACCTTGCATTTGGTGTTCATGAGCAACCCATTTGGCTTATTAGTAATAATTATGTATTTGTTTTTATTTGTCTGTTCCTTATGAATGGTTTATCGGTTGAAAATTAGATGCCAGTAAGGCACTTTCAAAAATATATTAAACAATTCAATTAGACAAACAAAGTATCTTATGCATTTCTAGGTGTTAGGTATAGTAGTGTGGATATCGCCCATCTCTACTAGTGAGCGCAGCAAATGAGTGAAGATTGGCAATATCCAAGAGTGGATAAAAATGATAGCCGAGAAAATCATAAGATATCATATTTATCCAATGGTCGCTATTATTGTGTAGATTTAAAATGATTGGACCTAAAAGTCGTTTTTTCTCATTTTCGTTTCTAATTTTTTCATTTTATTTTCTGTGAACTTATTCTTACAAAATGATTGCATTTTTACTGAGCATATAACCTTGGAACTATATTGTCAAACAGACAAGTGGTTATCACACCTTTTTTCACAATTTTTGTTTACATTTTTTTAAAGAAAATTTCCAATTTTTTTTTCATTTTTGACATTTTTTAAATTTTTTTAAACATTTTTTCCCAAATTAATTTTCAAAAAAAAAATTTCAGACTTTTTTTACTTTTTCAAATTCATTTTTTTTAAATGTTTCTTAAATAGTATCCGTTGGATACAATTGGATATCGTGTCATTTGAATCAGAAACGATTTTAGTTGCGCATACGAAAATTATCTTGTGTCGTTATCCCCTTATATATTTGGTATCAATCGGATAAAGAACATTAATCAACTCGCTAGATATTTCATATGCCGTATTTTCCATGTGGCGATCTCCATAGAGTATTTACTAGTATGTCATTAGACTTGATTCTGGTAGTGTTACCACGCACCTCGACACATCTTACTAGACGCCTCATTCACTGAATAAATTGACAACGTATCACATAGGGTTTTAGTTGAGCAAACTTCTTATAATTGTAATCTTATAATTGTAAAGGTTTTCTTTACAAAGTTCATTTCATGGTGTGATATATATTTATTTATCCCATACTTGGACGTGTTATACGTAAAGCCGGTTTGTAAAAACTTATATTTTCATCAGCGGGCAGATATAGTGGAGAGGTTAAGCTTTGCATATATAATCGAAACTGAACCTGTACGTATCACTCGACCATACAAATTCATGTAGCCTTCTCATATAAATAGCCGTTCAAATCCAGTGTTTGTTTAGACTACACCATAGCGTGTAATGATTCTATAGTATGTCATTGACGCGGTTTTATAGCTGGTTTTCTAATACATATTTTAAACGAGCTCGTTTCGTAAGATTTTTGGCGCTAAATCATGCATGACATACATCATCGTGTTCAGCAAGAATTCAACTGTGCATCGAAATCAAAATTGACAGCATAGTGTTCAATAGACACGAGTAAAATGGTTCCCGCTGACCCAACGTCAAATATTCAAATCTCCCGTTCTAAACCCGAAACTCTGAAGCTGAAAGAGTATCTGAAGTAGACTAAGCGCGCATAAAACTATGAGCGCTCGATACATTCCTTTGTTAATTTTTGTACTTTGCGTTCACGGTTACGTTGTGAAAAACATCGTTAGCTTAACCTCTCCACTATTTATGTTTGGAAGATAATGTATCGTAACATTGAATATATCATTCATTTCATATAATGTGACCATGAATAAGCCAATGAGCATCTAGAATTCAGATTGTTTAGCTGTTTCAAATATCCCATGTTATTTTTCAAAAATATAATGCCTGGGTCACATTTGCAATTCAGTATTTTGTTCAAGACTTAATACAATATTGAACAGAATACTCAATCGGCCGGGCGCCGGCCGATGAATCGGAGCAGATGTGATCCAGGCATTATGCCTTGGTCACATTTGCTCCGATATGCACTACGGCGCCCGGACGATTGAGTATTTTGTTCAAAAATGTATTAAATTTTGAACAAAATACTCAATCGGCCGGGGGCCGGCCAATGAATCGGAGCAAGATGTGATCCAGGCATTAGCATCACCATGAGAATCATTGGAAAATGTAATTATATCATTTGTGCATTTACAATAAGTTCATTATTAAGGTCTCGGGGTAGTTATCAGAAATTTACATCAAACAGGAGATGAAAAAAAACATGTGGATTTTAAATTTTTTTGAAGTATAGCAGAGTTCTGCTTTGATCTTCAGTCTGTTGTACTCCACCCATATATTATTTATATGGCTAAGATCACAATGGTCATGGTCAAAATGACCCTTGCTATGCTGAAATAACTTTTTCAGCCCTCTGAAAATGACACTGAAAAAAAGTTAAGAATTAGCTTTTCGGAAAGGTGCACTGAATAGAATATGTTAAATATTTCAGAAAATGTGCGAAACATATAAGCTTTAAATGATAGAAGCTTTGAAAAGTTGAATTTATTTCTAGAAATAGAGAAAAAATGATAACAATATGAATCTTTTTCCCTTCCTATCATTTAAAGCAATACATTGAGCACATTTTCTGAAAACTTCAAAATATTCTGTTCGTTGACCTTTCGGAAATGTTAACTTTTACCTTTTTCAGTCACAGTTTCAGAGGGCTCGTTTTGACTATGACGACCATTGTTATCCTGGTCATGTAGATAATACATTAGAGTAGTAAAACTGATTGAAGGTTAAAGCAGAACTCTGTTATCTTAGTTCAAAAAATTGTTAAACCCGCATGGTATTTTCATTTCCTGTTTGGTGTAAATTTCTGATAACTACCCCGAGACCATATTCTTGTCATTAATGACATAAAAATGTGCGTGCTTTCAGCGAAATTGAGACCGATAAATAACCAAATCTTATGAGTAAATGAGCAATGATGAATTCCAAAAGAAAACATTGTTAAAACGAGAAAAAAATTATAGTGAGAACATAAAGACACATATATAATACTCGTGTGTTTTCCCTAAAATAGGCACATTTTTGATTGTCCATGCTGGTAAATAATGAGCGTATTATAACGCATGTTGTTTTCGATGAAAGAAATACCATTTTTGGTGGATCTACTTTTGGACGTCCTTTTATCGTATGGTTTGTAAAATGAAGCCCTCTGATTGGTCAGTTCTTGAGCTGTACCAATCTGTATTGCTACTGAGACTGTCCCCATTGTTCATCTCCACAGTAATACAAAAAATATTGGTACGGAGGGGTCTATCTCAATACCAATACTGAGAATACAGAATATTTTCTTAGGGATTATCTCCTACACTCCCCTCCATAAGTTTGGCAACCTTTTTCCCCATTGAACTACGTGTTAAAGCCTCTTTACGTTTGAATTTTTATTTACTTAACCGGCGATGAAATAACTTATAATATTGATGGAAACGTAACTTGACTTTATTTCCAATACCTCCAAATTTTCTCAATTCTTTTCCTGAATTACAATAGGTCGAAAATTGATGATAAATTTGATGAATTTTTGAAAATTTTTCGTATTTTCATCGCAGGTTAAGTAAATAAAAATTCAAAGCTAAAGAGGCTTTAACACGTAGTTCAATGGGGGAAAAAAGGTTGCCAAACTTATGGAGGGGAGTGTAAGTAATACCTTGGTCACATTTGCTCCGATTTTCACTACGGCGCCCGGCCGATTGAGTGTTTTTTTCAAAATTGAATATAATATTGAGCAAAACACTCAATCGGCCGGGCGCCGGCCGATGGATCGGAGCAAATGTGACCCAGGCATAAAATGTACTGACGTAAGATCACACGATAAAAATGTTATTGAATGATTTGAAGTGCAATACAGGATATATTCTGTCTCGATATTCTGTATTGGCACTCGACTTCATCTCGTTCAAATACAGAATTTCTCGATAATCTGTATTGGCACTCGACTTCGACTCGTTCCAATATAGAATTTCTCGAGCAGAATATATCCTGTATTGCACTTCAAATCATTTAATAACTTATAGTATTGTATCTCCATTGAGTGACGACACAATATAAGACAACATAGAACTTCAGTGTCCATTATCCCATGGGAAGAAATATATCTATTATAATATCATATAATAAACCAATATCAACAAATATGTTCAGTCTTTTATAGAGGAATTGTATACCAGACGCAGGGAGACAGATGGTATGGGGCAGGCGCTACGCTGTGTCTGGTATACAAACGCCACATTTATTCCTGTTCGTTTCGAGCAACGCTACACCAACACCAGTTTGATTATATATCTTATGCATTGATTGTCCATGAATTAAAAGTTCGACAATGGTATCTGTATCATTTTGTACTATCGCCGTGGTGCTAATTGCAATAGCAACCCGATTTGGGTTTTGTCGTCATAATAGCGCTTAGTTATACAGGGTGTTCCAAAAGTAACAGGACTGGTCCTAGTACAAATACAGTGTTTTAAACACACGTAATCAGACCAAGTTGGTCGTCGTCATAGTTACGAGTTAAATATTTCTCTGTTCAGCCCAAATTGGGCGTCGTCAAATACAATAATGATATATATTTGAGTACTATAACAAAAGCTTTTCTCTCAATATTATTTTGATAAACATCTAGTCGTTTCTAGTTTATCCCGAGAAATCTCAGTACACGGTAGAATATCAAGTATATCCTTATTGTTATTGGATTCCAACCAGCCTAAATATCCTGCACAAATTTCTATGACTCGACTATTGTGCGTATATAATTTTATATCGTGCGCCATTACAGTGACGATAATTGCAATAGCAAGCCGGATAGGGGCTTGTCGCTATTACTATGGATACTTCTTTTAGCAATACGAGGCTGCTCAAAATGAGTCTTGAGTTTCACTGAATATGCAGTTTATATCAAATAAATACTTATTACAAATTCTAGTATATCCTGACTGTGAGACGAGATTTCTCGGAGTGCTAATCACTGGCAGAGTCTTGTTTTGTCTTGCGTTTAAATGGCTTGGAACATTATTTCCAGATCATCGTCGTCTGTTAAGTAATCTTCGAGGATTCTGTTTATGCCTTCTTTAGATGTATCAGACACTGGTTTGTAGCATCCTAAACAAAAAATACCCATCATAAAATACATGTAGATAAGACAGTTGCTTGTGATATCATAATGAGGATAAAATATGTCAGACGATGCGTTGTGATATCCTTAAGAGTACGCCTGACAATATCATATCCTGAGGAATAGGCATATCGAACAACCGTGTAATATTTATAATTAAATGTAACAAATATATCAACGTAAGTTTCAAATTCAAGTGGCTGATAATGCCTTCGGCAAAGCCACTACAAGTGTATAATGACTGTTTATGTACTTTATAATAATGTTTTTGAAAAATAAATTCTATGAATAAAAAAATAAGTTTAACAATGTATTCAATACTAAATATAAAAATAGTTAAGTATAAAAACGTTAAAAACATCAGTATACACGTCTAATATAGATATTCATAAGATATTTATTACACTTACATAATCAAAATGAGTTGTCAAACAACATTCATAGGCGTAGCCAGGGGGCGCGATGGGTGCGATCGCACCCCAACCCCCCCCCCCCAAAAAAAATATATATAACCATGAGATAGAGGAAGAAAAGAGCTTTAAAATGCATTTTATTAGAAGCTTCTAGCCTTATTTCCGAAGGAAGTTGCATCAATTTTTGTAAAATTCAAGATAAATCTTAATTTTTTGGCTTGTTTATGCCACAATCACACCCCCTCGACTGAAATTCGACATTTTTGGGCGATCGCACCCCCCCCCCCCCCCCCCCTCTGACCGAAAGCTGGTTTCGCCCCTGGTATTTATACTAACCCACACACTACTTCATAAAAACTGATTGAATTTATTAAACAATATAGTTTATGAATAAAATATGACCAATAGTGCTTACAATAAGGTTAGTTTGACAATAAGTGACATGTAGCACGCAAAACAAAGCAATGAGATTAATATATTCGACCTTACTCTCATCAATACTAAGAGTGACAAATATCTTTACACACCTTTCCTCATGGTGAGATCAACGCTGACACCATTTGCAGTAAGGACTCCATTTTTAATTTCATGATTTCCCGTAAAGAAGTGTTTGCTGTTAAACTTCAATGGCTTGTTGGTTGGCATGCTGGCCTTGGTAAAAGCGGAGGAACAGATATCTCCTGAAAGAGAACAGCATATGTTAGCATAAGTGATAAGCAGCGAAAGCTTAAGCGTGTTATTAAACACAACAAGAGACAAGTCTAATGGAATACCATCAATGTTCAAAACGATTACCCAAAACTAAGAAACAATATTCAATGTAGTTTTCAGATCCACCAAGTAACCTCAATAGAAAATTATATTCATGTTTCTTTATTATTATTTAGGTCAATTATACATGTAATTAAATAATTAAGGCGTACCAAAGTCTGATGCATTTGGGTGTAAGAGGATGGCCGAAAATACGCTCCTTAATGGATTTGTAATCTGAAGTGAAACAATCTGGACAACACAGCTATATTATATTATATTATGTTATATTATATTATATTGTATTTTCTCACTTAAAGCAAACCTTGTATTCACTATCAGTTCTACTACTTGCCCTTGAAAAGTCAGGTAAACACTGCACTCTACATTAAGAACGTGTTTTATCCAGTCATAGAAAGATACATTTTAATATCTAGACGGTACTATCAAGCTTTTAGTGGATTCTGATGAATCATTGGGAAATGAAAAAAAATTGTTGTTGCAAAAACATTTGGTTAATTTTTTCTTGACCGTAGAGTGAAAGAAAATTAATCGACACTTGAAATGGAAATTTGTATTTACCTACAAAACCACCAGCAACGACGGACTTATCATAGGCAAGGTCAAAATCAAGATGGTTGTTGTACTTCATAACGGCAACTCTGCCAAATTCAGGACTCTCAATCCATAAATACCTGAAAAATTCAATCAAGTATGAAAAATGAAAACAAATGGTGAAGTGTTTCTGCCATAAACTTGGCTCCTTTTGGTCTTTATACTCATGGCACTCATGCTTGCATATTTTCTTCTCACCTGTTTTCGATTTCTGCCTTTACATTCCCGAAAGTATGTTTAGACTTATGCGATTTCATGCATGAAAGCTTTGTTTCTCGACCAGTCTCGTGATCCAGAATGGAGGTGCCAGAGATGGTCGCAATGATGTTGATACTCTGGCTTTGAATATACACCGTATCTACGAACAGCAAGTCTTTACTGGATGTAGACGCCTCAACAGAAACAAATGTTGCCAACACCTTCGTTCCTTAAAGAGAGAATGTAAACAGCGAATTATTTACTTTTTCGATAAACGCATTTAACTTATGGTGGACTTCGGTCCCTAGATTTGAGAAGCAATGTATTATTTATTTTTTCGAAAATTTATGTTACATGACGAATATATTTTAGATTCGAGAAGAGTTCAGTGTAATTATTGTACATTGCGTGAACATTGAACACCTTACCTAAAATTCCTCTTGAATTTCACTTGAGCTACTGCATGAGGAAACATCGAATATACTTGTTTATCTCTATTGAGTGATCGTAAACCTGGAGTCAACTTTTATCTTTTTTTAGAAATGATTTCATAAATTCCTACTTACGACTAAGTTTATCATCAAAGAACAGATATGTTTTCCCAGGGTCTCCATATGCGTCAAAGCAGATACGGTCACCGGAAGGTAGCACGCAAGAAACATGAGGGTCGCCACGCACAGTAGTTGTTTGGAACGGATTAATAGTAGTCGCAGGAGGGTTAGTAATAAAAGGTGCTTGTGTAGTTATAATCACAGGAGGGTTGGTAATAATAGGTGCTTGTGTAGTTGTAACACCAGCCGGGTTAACTGTATTGCCAGTACCTATATTCACCAGACATAATGAGTTTAAAATATCCTTAGTAGTTATTAGAATATGTAAAAATTTATCCTATGGATACTAAATATATATGGGGACAACAGCACAAGATTATTTTGCTATGCGCCACTAAAATCATATCCGATCCATATATAGAGATTATCCTATATGAGGTTCAGGATATTATCCCGAGGTCAATATAATATATCTGCCCGAGGGCCGTAGGTCAGACATACATGGACTCATAGAGTGTATGGGCAAGCATATCTGCTCCAAGAATCTATAGGTAGTATTGTAAATTATTCAAGGAAGGCAGGGTCACTGTTGAAGATCATCTACAATCTGGTTTTATGAAGAGCTTGCAGACAGAGAAAAACACTAAAATTAAGGTGATTTGAGATGCAATTTATGAAGAGAGAACTATCACATTGCGGAAATTAGCAAACAGGGGCGACACGGGATATGGAACGTACAGTTCAAAGAAAAGTTGACAATGACCTGAAGATGTGTTTGATCTGCTTGAAATAGGTACCGAGGAAAGATTGAAATACCCAGCTTATCTGTTTTAATTTTCATACGTTACAATTTAACCGACCTACCTGCCCTAAATACGCGTTACCATGGCAACCTTATTTTAAAATTATTTTAAGATATAGCTAAAGTATTTTAGCATTGTATGTGTAATTGACCTTCTATATTCTGAAAAGATGAGAAAGATATATATGAAAATATCACAAAATGAGAACATTTTATTAGAATATATGGATCGTCCCTTGTATATCAAAACTTCAAATTCATGCATTGGAAACTCACAATTTTCTGCCATACATATGTGAAAACAATAAAACCATATATTCATCCAATTGAAGCAGTCTTCTTTCACGTTAATTATGCTAGTATAATAGAAACTATACTACTATTTTAAAACCTCAAATTCAGCTCACCATCTTCCCTCGCGCATATTGCATTAATAAGGCTTGGCAACGGACCTTGGGGACCCAGTAAACTACCGAAGCTAAAAAACATTAGAGCATTCTAAAATTTAAAAAACGGAAAGAGAAGTCGATCGGGGAATTATTTTGTCTACTAAAATATTAAATGTCTAACAATTTCTTAATTGGTTTGCTCATAGTTTTACAATCAAACTAATACATGCACATGGAACCCTTGCGAAATTTTTATAAGTGTCCAGCAGAACTATATATTTTGTTTCCAAACTTGAGAAAGCAAACCCCTTGACTAGTCTAAACTTATATTTGATTGTTATAAGATCATATTTACTTATTTGTATCGATGATGTTAAAACCTCGACCACCCGTGATCTGATTAAACTCGATTTCCTTTTCAATATCAGACTCAGGTTTATAGGAGTTAACCAATGACATCACCACGATCCTTACACCCATTTTCCGTAATTCATCGGCCTGCCTCAGCGTTTCACTCTTTTTGTCAGAAGGGCGTGTTCTTCCATCAGAAATAAGAACAAGCCGCTTTGCAACACCTATAATAATATAAATCAAACATAGTAACCGGGACAATACAAGTCCAAAGTCTATATATTTACTCTAATTGTTTCACTTTTTAGAGTTAAGTCACTACATTTTGCATACATATTTCTTGGAGAAATCCTAACATAAAATTTATTTTGTTCTTAACTTAAAGATATTAATTTAAGAGTAAAAAAGGCTCCAAAACTTAATAAAATATGGAGTTTGGATGTTCATTTAAGTCTGGGGATGATATTTTATACCACGAACACTTACAGATACCTGAAATTTGCAACAAAAGTGGCCAAAAATTGTTGTTTCTAAATTCCCCATTTTTCCTGTATCGCGCTAGTCACGTGACCATTACGCGTAGCAGGCAATACAGATATTACAGTACATATTTCAACATGTTCAGTATATGGCAAACATAAGCGATTCTGATTCCCGGGTTCTGGGAAATGGCTATTATAAATCGGCGAGAGGGTGTAATTTGACTGGGGACAAAACAGTGGAAAATGTGTCCAAGTATACCAGTAAGAGAGCAGATATGGGGACTTTAGACAAGTACTATGACGGAGAATCAACTAAAAATCGTTGCCTGAATTGTCATTATTTGAAGACGTGCAAACTACTATGAGCAAGCGTTGAATTACTTTGCAATATTTTGCATGATAAAGGATGCATTGGAACAATTTTATGTCAGAATCGCCCAGGCCAATTTTCTGAGCGATTTTATCATATTTGAACTAAATATATGACTGAATTTGATTTTATGACCCTACAATTGAGCGAAATTTGAAGAAGGGTATCTAATAAGTCAAACTTAGTCTGTTATCTTGATTCGAGAAGACGTTTAATGATAGAAAACCAGTGAATCACTGACTAATTTTGTCAGCTTTTGACAAAATTTGCAACAAATTAGCCAAAATTTTGTATCCTCCAGAAGTGCTCGAAGGCAAAAACCGCTTCTTTAAGAATGGTCACCATTCTTATTATTTGGGAGAATTTAAACATTTTTCACCCATTTTTGCACTTTGAATTATTAATAACTTCACCAATTTATAACATATTTTGAATCTTTTGGGAGATATTGTATTTGATATTGTAAGGAATAGATTGGTAGGTCAATTATGCACGTTTCTTGTAATTTTGTCACCCCCTATAGATCTGATTCTGCCTTTAATATTCCTTTTTAATAATAAAAATAATTTCTCCTTTTTAAAGTGAGTTGGAGAGATAAGTATTAGTAAGGAATAGTATTTAGGATTACCTCTGCCATAGTCTCTTCAATACATTTATCTAACGACTCTTCATTCTCATACAAAGCGAATATCTTAGAGTCCATTCGCCACTCAATATTTTTGTTTACAAAAGTCAAAAGTAAAACCATTGGTGGATGCTGGAAAAATATTTTAAACTTGGTATCTTTCTCAATATATGGCAAAACACTCACAAGTCCGAAGGATTAGGGCATAAATTATAAAAAGAAAATTGACGATACACGCACCATTGACGGCAGGTTCCTCCTATAGGTGTACAATTATCTAGAACATCAAAAAAAGTATATGTTAAAAAATCAAGCAAGGCATATAATTTACTGGTAGATTCAGGCACTTTAGATTTTCATATCTGCATTCCAAATTATTTATGACTTTTATGAATACAGTGAAATGACAAGATCATATTAGAGCTTATTGACGAGTTAGATTATCGTATCATAATCGCCAGTTTTGGTTATTGGTCTGTAAAATGAATTAAAATACTTATTGAAGAAATGGATTATATTTGTTTTTGATATTGTGTCAGCCCTTTCACATTACGATATTACGAGTTTCTTGGTTAAAAATACGAATATTTTGTGTGTCAATTTTTGTGTAAGTGTTGATATCCAGATCTTTATATTTTTCTATCGTATGTATGTAGTCTTCTAGACTCAATAATACAGTTTGTTTGTAACAGCAAAAGTGGGAAATGATTTGAAAATTATATTCACAAATCAATTTCCTTGAATAGGAAACGAGGGATTTTTTCCAATGAAATGTTTTTTATGAGAAACCTTCCTCCCCAGTGGTGTTTGCGTCATTTGAAAGTTAATGTTGCAGTTTAAGTTTGCCTTAAAACTTATATCGAAAGCTCTCTAATAAATCAATAAACACCTAAATTGAAATACAAGAAAACGCTTACCCCCTCCACTGACAAATTCTGGGATGACTGCAACAGCAAATATGCAAACTAACAAAGTTAGAGAATTCATCTTTGTTCAATATCTTGCCAAATGACCGTACAGTACTGAACGCTCACCTTGATTACTACTTATGGAGACTAATAATGAGTCTTATACTACAAGGTTCAATACAACTATCAATAAAATAACACATAAGACAGCCCGCAACGTGAAATGCGTCATTCAAACTGCCAGTTTATAGCTCGCAGTTGGTATTCGTGAATGTTCTTATGAGACATTCAAAAGCTTATTTATCTGTTATTACATTAATGTGTGCGTTATAACAATAACTACGAATACCAAATGCAGAAAACGGCTATAATTGATATGAACATGCTGGGCCTACGTGCGATCCGGATTGTACCATCCTAGTATCTGTGAAGGATAATATCAAGAATATATAGAGAAACACAATCATACAGGGGTTAATCAAACATTGACTAATATGCTTGATTATGCTCTATTACTTCCGTTTTCATTTTTTCAATATTTATCCCGACTTTCATCAAACTTCAATCATTAACCTTGCTCGGGTTATGGTGATACCGAGAATAAAACATAACGACAAAGACCATTCGTTTTTTAGTTTATATCTAAGTCCATGCTTTAATCACATCTTGTACAGTAATTGAAAATGTTTAACTTGTATCACTTTCGTTTGGGAAAGGTTCCTAGCGTGTGTTTTACATTCAATTCATTTGGAAGCTAATTTTTGGAATGAGCTATACTGCGCTGCGCTCATATCCCGATAAGCTGGTGGGCGTACGTAAATTTAACGTACGATATGAAGCTGACAATGTTTTTTATTAACATATTTTATTTCCATCAAGTTCACAATTCTATAAGGTACTTAACAACCGTGTTACATTTTCTTTACGTTTTGTTGAACTGGTTAATCTGAAATTAAATAAAAAAAACATAAAAAGATAATTCATGCCAAAGATGGAAAAACAAGTTAGCTTAAAATATCGATGATTTGAAGGTGTGCTCTCGAACAAGAAGAAGCTATTAATATGTAATTTTCGGATGTTCAGGAATACAGGTTTCCTCATGTCCAGGAATATTGCATAATATAGATATATTTAATTTGGCCAATGGATAATCCTTACATATCCTGAACCTTTACATTCCCACTGCTCCGGACTGCTCATATCAAATACTTTATTATCATTTAGAGCCTAGACTTAAAACAAAAAATTCATGTACACTATGCACTGTGTAAAATTCAAGAAGGGAATGTAACTTAACTCACCAGATATATCAATTGGATTGTCGTCGCCGAAACCAGTAAAACCCGTCTAGAAGAAATATAATAGAACTTTATTGTTTGGAAGGAAATGATCGATGACACAGAGTGTGCATGAATTATTAGATGTTTGTATTTATTTTTATATACCTGTTGTATATGTTGTTGTACATATACATCTATTTTGATCATAGAAATTATATTCAAACACGACAAGACGTGATAAGTTACATTATGAATCGTTCTCATTCGTGATTGGCTATGCTTAAGCAAGTCAAATGTTAACCCTTTAAAAAAGTTTCTTGTTAAGTTGCTTTCTTTTGAATCATATTATATAGAATCTTATCTTTGTAAAACATTTTCAATCATGAATTTTTGTAAAAGATAAATACACAAAATAGTTTTGGTCTGCGACTCGATAAAGGATAAAGAAGAATTATCAAAGCTCATCAAGAATGGACGATCTTGCACAGGTACTCGTAGTATAAGAACCTCTATATCTTTCTAACACCAATATAAAGATTGAACAACGGACACACTATGTTAAAAATAAAATGTTATATCTAATGTTCAAATTCAATGATTCAGCACATTGAAAATATTTTCAACCTAAGTGACCACATCGTGACACCACTTAGGTGGCAATTTTTTTCAATGTCAATCTTTTCTAAATATGCTTAACTTAAAAAATAAACCAATGTTGACTGTCTAACCAGGTTAAAGGGATGAATAGATTATGTTTTTAATAATATTTTACCATTGGTTTCTATGAGAATTAAAATTTTGAAATGCATCCTTCCCTGAACCACTTTCATGCATTGATAAGTTCATTGCTCGCTTATCTATCAACCAATTTTCTTGATTTTGTCGGCAAAAAACAAATGAGAATGAATGCTATGCATCAGTGTTAATTATCGCTTTAAAGGATAAGTGTGACCTCTAAAAGTTAGTTTTAAATAAATTCACGATATTTTGAACAGAAAGTCCTACAAAAAACATTTTTGAAATTAATGAAAAGTTTCACATTTCACACTTTGATAACATTGGCTAAGACAACAATATAAGCCAAAGTGGTTTAAACTTTATATGGGGCCTTTAACTGATAAACACAATTTTACACCCATTGGAAAGACTGTAGTGTGGCTGTTTGGACTTAGTTATATCAATCATACATGTAACTGCATGTCCAGTGGAAAAAACAACTCTGATTATACCAACGGTTTGAATTTGAATTTTCATGCACATGACAGTGGTCAGATAGTGATCTAAAATGCATAGCCCAAATGAGTAAAAAATTGTTCCGTTGTTTACTACTATAATGAGATCATGTGATCTTTACGAAATATAGTGAGTTCCATTGCAGTTCGAAATTGAGGTACAAATCATTGACAAGGAAGTGCAAAACAAGATCGCTGAATAAAACCAGAACAACGGCAACGCCAATTCATAGCGAATCCCATCGAACAGAAATGGCTGGCATTTTTAATTTTAAAACATATTGCTATTACAGTTTCACATATTGCACCTAAATTTAATTACTGTAAAATCGGCACTAAAATGGCCCCCATTTTTAAATGAGCGACCATTTTGAAAATCGGCTTACAAGCAGAACTTCTATCCCCATAGGGTATATGTGGACAAAATATGAACAAAATTGGACCAACGGTATTTGAGTTATTGCCCGGACGGACGGACGGACAGACGGACGGAGCGACGGACGGACGAACGGACGGACGGACGGAGGCGTTCCCTATATCCCTTCGAACTTCGTTCGATGGGATAATAAAGCATAGTCTATAGAAGACTTTAAATTTTCACCCAAAACTTAAACCCAAAACAATATTTGACTTCTAACAAACGGCGAATTATCGAAAACAAACGGCGATTTCGGACACTCGCCCCCTGTTATTGAAAGCCCAGTTGAACACTATGGCTAGTCGATCTATGTGGATGCAGTCAGGCACATGTAATGTTTCGTGAGTGCCCGCCTCTGTTCTTTTCAATGGAAGAATTTTGCACTTCTGTTTAAATAATCGATATTTACTCATCCGTGTATATCATACTTCATTGATTTACAAAACCAAAGCTACGCTATAAACACACATTCTCTGATATTTTTACGGAAAATAGATAACTTAAAGAACCAGTTTTATCATCACTCATAGCTGTGAGAAGGTATGTATAATTTGCCATAGGTTTATCTTATAATGGGGAATAAAAAATTCAAGTAATATAATTATTTCACGTACACAAATATGTCTGTGTGAAGTAAAATACAAATACTATGCGTTTTATAATATTTTTGGGGTTATGGTATGAAATATCTGCTTTAAAAAAGCAATTTAATTATGATGTATCATGTGGATTAGTAGACGTTCTTTTGGGATTCAATGAACAGACTGGCTAGGTTTTAATTGAATCATTTTGAATGTGTGTATTTTAAATATTTTAATCCACAGTGTCCAAAAACAATAATAATGCTATATTGGTAATTGGAAAGATTCCACTTACTGCGATTTCCAAAAATTGTAAATAGATAATATTATTCTTGAATTTGGGTCATTTGTTTCAAGGAATCTGTAGGCTCGTTCAGCTGAGCTGACAAAATCATACAATATATTAGTAGCCGAGACAACACAAGTCCCAAGTCTGTATATTTACTCTCATTTCTTCACTTTTAATAGTCCAACAACATTAGACCTAGCCTGGGCCTCGTTTCTTATCTGACATGTCTTATGGCCCCGGCTAGGTCTAACCTCCATGACCATTTTGCCCTTGATGCGTTAATTTAGTCGTTCAGCAGGTTCCGACAAGCGGAACTAATTAAACTCCGAAAACATGGTAATATTACATAAAGAATGTGATTCAAGCATGCATACATACCTTATAAATACATACACACCATCCCGTACCCCCCTTAGACCATATTGATGCATAATTACGAAAATATTGGAGACAGGTTTGGAATTTTACGAAAATATCGGTCAGCTCCGGTAACATCGAAATTGCAAATCGTATCAGGAATTAACTGTCATTGCGACACTGCATCAACGAACAGTAGGTTTGCAATTAATAACTATTTTGTGTGTATACAAGCGCTATATAAATCAATCAAAGATACCTGCTATCCTCAAAAATGGTTATTTTATCCCGAGTAATCGCGTGATAATTATCAATCTATTTGACAACAATTTCGTTTCAATAGTTTAAATTTTAACCCGGGACGAACAGACACAATGACGGACATGCGGAAATGTCATTTTAGAGATTGGTAAGTTTAACCTCATTTTACTTGTATAAATGACCATTTAATACAATAATATTGTGTTGAATCGCTTGATGTTATGTGTTTTTATATTGTTGTCAAGTATCAGTTGCATGTTATCGCGGAAAAATGGTTTCGGTGGATCCAAAACTTGCATCAATGGAAAGAATAGTAAAGAGGTTAAACTCAATAATGGCCCCAAGAAAATTCTTAATAATAAATAACGCCGTTATTGAGTTTAACGACGTTGAACTACACTTTTAAGAGTTAAGTCACCACATTTTGCATGCAAATTCCTTGGAGAAATCCTAACATAGAATTTCATTGGATTTGATTATAATTTATTTGTTAAATAGAGGGAAACAGTTGATTTTGATTGGTCCATAATCAAAATTTTCCATTTTGTTCAACAAATTTGACGTTATTAATAAAACTCCAAGTTATAAATGACAGATACAATATGGTGTCTCTAATCTTATTGACAATAACTATCACTAGTCATTTTTGCCAATCATAAGA